TTCTAAATTCTCGGTATAATACAAATCTGATTAAAACCCAAAGCTATAGTGAATTAAATTTAGAAATTCTTTTGAAAACAAATTAGTTTCACACGAATACTCAAATTCCGCTCAAATTCATATACATTTATATTTTACATAATTTTCTATTTTTAAATATATAAAGAATTTAAATACAAGCTGTTTTGTACTTAAATAGTACTTAAAATTAACATTAATTATCAAATAAAAGTATAGCTTTCATAAAAAATTATTTTTTATGTAAAAATTTCTTACTAAAAATATAATAATTTATTACCAAGTAAAAGTATATGGTATTCTTACGGTATATATAGAGTATTTATTTCATTATTGCAATTAAGAACAGAATTATGTAATAAAACCACAAACTATTTCAAATAGAAGATAAATTTCCTGTAAATCAATTGAAGGCAATTGAATACAAACTAAATCACACAATAGTTTTATTTTTTTGTGCTTCACTTACACTAAGCATAGAGAGTGCATAATAAATAGAAATAAAATATTTGAGAGAGTGAGTGAATGAATGAATGAATGAGTGAGTGAGTGAGTGAGGGAGTGAGGGAGTGAGGGAGTGAGGGAGGGAGAGAGAGAGAGAGAGAGCAAATAAGCTGCAATTATAAAATTGCTTTATTGAATCGTTTATTTAGAAACATAATTGAATGCCAAAACAGATGCTATAAAAGTTAATATCATATGATACAACTCGTGGGTGTTGACAGTGATTTACCATTAAAATTGAGATTATGTCGACAATTCAAGTATCCTCAAATCAGAAGCCTTAATATTATGATATTCAAATATCAATGTATTAAACATATAACTCACATAATACATTGTGCATTAAAGTTATAAGACTTATAAATTATAAGTGAATTAATCTAAACAAATTAATAATTACAATGAGAATAACCAATTTATTAAAATCAAAGAAATATACTGAGGAACCAAAATGTACTGCATTTACTTTTTACTGTAATACTATATTAGCTACAAAGTATAAAGTGGAAAACACAATACTTTGATGATTACATTTAATGTCTTATTTTATGTACAAATTGAATACAATACTTGTGATGACACCAATTGTATTAAACGTTCTCTTAATGCAAAGAATTTGGCTTTAAATGAATGCAAGCCATGAATTGTTTTATATTCACCACAAAAGACATTTCAACACTCATTTTTTTACATAAAAAGAGCGGAGATATACTGTAATTATCACTTTATACCATAAATTTAGAAGCAGCAGACAAATAGATTGGTTATTCTCATTGTAATTATTAATTTGTTTAGATTAATTCACTTATAATTTATAAGTCTTATAACTTTAATGCACAATGTATTATGTGAGTTATATGTTTAATACATTGATATTTGAATATCATAATATTAAGGCTTCTGATTTGAGGATACTTGAATTGTCGACATAATCTCAATTTTAATGGTAAATCACTGTCAACACCCACGAGTTGTATCATATGATATTAACTTTTATAGCATCTGTTTTGGCATTCAATTATGTTTCTAAATAAACGATTCAATAAAGCAATTTTATAATTGCAGCTTATTTGCTCTCTCTCT